TCATGCAGTTTGGGTCTCTTTCTCCTTTTCCGGCCCTTCTCCTGGCATAGGCATGCGCACATGTATGCCAGCTCACTCACATCCCTTAGAGCCTGGCTTCAGTGGCATAGCGCCTGCCTGGCAAGTGCAAAGTCCTGCGTTCAGTTTTTGGTACAGAGAGAGAGAGAGAGAGAGAGAGAGAGAGAGAGAGAGAGAGGAAAAAAAAGCCAAAGAATCTGAAACTCTTCTAAACATTAAAGACTCTTCACCTGCAAACCTCTTCCAGGTCATAACTGGCATGTTGGGCAATTCCACAGGATCTCTGTCTCTCTTACACTTCCAACAGCACTGTCAGTAATCATCTGGTCTTCAAATTCAGCTGTTCAACATACATGTAATTTGTTTTTCTCTCTCACTGTCTAACGTAGACTGTCATTTGACTATTCAAACTTAATTTTTCACTCTTGAAACAAATGCCTAAGGCCAGCGAGATAGCTCAGCAGATTAAGTGCCTGTTTAGGCAAGTACAGGGACTGGGATTTAATCCCTGGCACCACATGCTGTACCAGCCCTGCACATGGGCACACTGAGCTGGCCACTGAGACTGAGTGTGGTGGTATATGCCTGTAATCCCAGCTAGGTGGGCCGAGACAGGAGGATCACTACAAGTCCAAGATATGTAGTGAAACCCTGTACCAAATACATTTTAAAAAAGAAAGAAAGAAAGAAATGCCTTTTCAGTAATAGAGTTTATAAAACATGTTTCTTTCCTCCATTAGGCTCCAGAGTGCAAAACTGTGTTTAGGACTCCTCCTCAGTTCCTTCTCTTGGAAGATTTCCACCATTTGTCTCCACTTATCCCCTGGGGCACTTGCTGTCCATACTATAAATATCAGAGGATACTTAGATTAGTTAAATAACTTCTGATATATTCAAGAAGCTAATTTTCACTTATACCCAAGGACCAGTAGACAAGAATGACCAACTTCCAAGAAAACTTTACTTTCTTGTTGATGGACTGTATTACTTTTCACATTGAGAAACAATTTCTGTGTAATACTGTGTTCTCTTCCTAAGCAAGAGACGAACCTGGCAGGAATCATCCTCTGGTTCAAAATCCACAGCCCAGGGGGACAACCCGCTTGGGCCCCCCTCCTGTCCCTCTCTTGGACAGGAGCTTTCTTTCCCCCAATAAATATATTCTGCTCATAAAAAAAAAAAAAATCCTCAGCCTATCACCTGTTTCTGGGAGGAAAAATACACTTGTGATTCATCTTTTCTCATATATCAGAAAGTCAGACTAGAAATAGAAATGGGGATACCTGAATGAAACAGACTTATTTTCTAGAAACTGCTGGGAAATTGAATATCTCATTAGTACCAGAAATTCCTATCATTGAAGAAGATAATTCATTTTCCAATCCAAATTGAATTACTTTTAACCCAAGTAATCTAATTTCTCCTAATCTTGTTTTCCTAAGGAAATGTTGAACAATGATGTCTTCTTTTCCCCATTTAAAATCCCTCAATGAAAGCATCTCTTTGATCCACCCTTCCATGGTCTAAGGAACAAAAATCTTACCAACTGCTTTGAATACTATGGGACAAGGTGCTTGTCTTCCTCAAAAACTCTCTCTACTGAAAGTCTTTCTAGAGCTCTGTTTGTAGACACAGTCACTGAACCAACATCAAGCCAGCAAGACATTCAGAATTGCAAACTTGTGCTAACTAATGCAGTATGTCTAAATGTTGACTTGATTAGTAGACTCAACAGCTCTGTAAATCATATGATAATTTGTCCCAGGAAGTTTTGAACTGGAGGCTTAGGATACCATTACAAAACCCCCACAGGTTGAGAGCATTTAGCAAGTGAGAAAATGTGTGACTTGTAGGAAGAAAGAGTTGCATGTCTTTAGCTGCCCTCCCTCTCTTCCCTGGTACAGTTTTGCATTTTGAGTCACTGATGTTTGATGAAGTATTATGCATGTCATGTGTGGATAACAAAACACTGGAGAGAACCCATCCTCTTTCTTTAGAAAGAACCTTGGCGGGCTGGTGAGATGGCTCAGTGGTCTAAAG